CCTCAGAGAGAGCGGAGGAACAAGACAGCGAGAACCCATCCTGTACAACCAACACCACCACCTTCTTTACTGTTGTTTCTGGGTGTCATTTTTCCCACTCCTTTCACTTGCTTTCTCACTGTGTTTTACTGTCAACTTTATTAGCATAAGTCTACACTCTTATCCGATCGAATATTACATTGTACGGTTACCACAATTGCACAGGTGTCAGCTCGGTCAATCACACCATCCAAAATCCGGAAGACAACCGAGACACTTCCACACCGGTAGTCGCCAGTTTTCGATCCAATTGAGCCAAAAGCATCAATAATGTTGCCGTTCTTGTTGTAGTGCCAAGCCGTGCATTCCTGGCTAGAAAACTTACTACGGTACAAGTATGCGAATCGATAAGTTAACTGATAAGCAAGCTTCCTTTCCGCTACTTTCCTGACCCCGCTTTTCGCCTTCCTAATCGGGAAGGTGTTTAGGGGCCAGAACACCAGACACCCCCTCACGATCTTTCCCTCGCCTAACTTTCTTGGGGCTTCATATGGCTTGGGTACTCAACTTTCATCGTTTGGGTAATACAAAACACGTCCTTTCGTGCTGGGGATTCGTCCCCGGCCAGACTGGACTCTAAAACTCCTCCTTCCTCCCTCCTGGGTTGGCATCTCGCCTTTACGCCCTGTGAGGTTTCGAAATTCCCACCTGCTTGGTCCTTTCCCCCAAGTAGGGACGCACAATACGGGTCGACACTATGGCTGCGGGGTCGGTATTGTACTGTCTCAGGTCTCGATTGGTCAGTTGGCTCAGATGCACTCAGAGGGGGGGCCGGCACGCCCTGGTTGGACCCCCCGACGCTACGATTATACTAAAAGGTTCACCTGTGTACGCCTTCCTGCTTTTCAATGGCAGGGCCGGGAGAAGACGCAGGACGATGTCACATCAAGGAGGTTTCTTTTGTTTGGGTTTCTTTTGTATTTCCTTTCTCAAGAGATTACGGTGTGGGTTTTCTTGTCGCTTCCTGTCGGTGCTTTGGGGGTTGTGGCTCTGCGGTTATGGGGCGGGGCTGTGGTTTTCTTAGTGCAGGATGTGCGGTTGGTCCCATACCAGAGGGACTTGGGGCGGCTTGTTTTTCCCTAGGCCTGCGGAGGAGGTTTTTGACCGGCATGCCTATTTCGGCGAAAACGGGGGTGTGGGGCGGTTATTACAGAGGTGCCCTGGTGGAAGGATCCATGTTTTAGCCGGGTTGCACCTTTAAAGCGGAGGTTTGCACCTATTTAAGCAAATAAATTCTAGGATTTAACAAAAAACAAATAAGTTAACTGATAAGCAAACTCTAGATAACGAACCCCACCTTACAGGAAATTTTTCTCATTCCCGCAAGCTATGGCTAAATTGAGTTAGTCGAAATGCACCACCAAGAAAATCTCTGGCTGAGGAGAATCCCTTCTTCTCAGCCCTTGTGTCGCAGAGCGATTTGGATCCTCAATTTTTTTTTCGTTACCTTAGGCCTCGCTTCTTCGGGTGTTATACGAGAGGTGTAACCCATCAATGCTTCTGCCGGAGGGGGGATCCTCGTAATGGCGCTCTCGGTGGGCATCGCCAAGGCTAGGCTGAATTTTTTGCACGATCGCTCAAGCGCCGATGCCCGAGCCAGACAGGGAGAACGCCTCGAGAAAGAAAATAGAGCCATTCGGCTCCGCCACTAAATCAATCTATCAAAATGGGAAGCGGCCCTAAGAAAGTCTCCCGAGGAATACCGCCATTATTTACCCGACGGCTAATGCGAGCCTAAGCCATAGGAGTTAATAACTACTATCATCTCTTCAAGCACCCTCTTTGAAGGGAGGGGGGCTTTGGGGCCAAAAACCTTTGTCTTAGTTTTGGACAAAAAAAAGAGTCGAACGACGCGGGGGAAACGCCTCTAGTGCGGGACACACGGTAGTTGTGTGATTGAGAGGCTCTTGATTGCAAGCGGGCGCCAGAAAGAATGCGCTCAGATTGGTCGGGTTTCGCCCTCCAGTATCTCGTGTGGGGTAATGCACGGGCGAGATCACAGCACAGGGGTCGGTGACACGGTGTGGAGGCCCCGCTCAGCTCTCGTGATCCCCGGGTCCAACGAAGAGGCAGTGGTACGGTACTGTATCCCTACCATACATTTTTGAAAGGGTATGATTGTGGCAGGGAAGAATTAAACAGATTGGATATTGATCCGTTTGTCTATTCATAACCCCGTTTTCTTCCGAATACGGGGCGATTCTGCGGGTGGGGTTCTTATGGCGGAATTGGCCCCTGTGAGCCGACTCGGTTGAGAGTGCGTGACCGATAGGATATACTGTATCATGCGACACCTACCCACCGCCGGGTCGTTCCCCCAGCAAACAGCTAAAGCACTTAAAACTAGGACCCTGTGTGACCCCGAACAGCTCCGTTAGGTGTTCTCGAGTGCTCGTGTCTCGCAATCCCGGCATGCCCAAAGGACCTGGGCGACTCAGTGGGCTACTATCGTCCCATTTTATGATACTTTTTTTTGCCACCGTTTTCTCTGCAAACGGTGGCCCTCTAATTCACAGCATGATTCAAGTCACAAGAGACCTGCAGCACTAAGACCGTTGGCGCAAATTCTCTTCACGGAAGTCTCACGCTCAGAACCTCTGTGGCTGCCATTTTTTTCATGGATAGGTAGATTATCTGGGCTAGCGTGACTATCTGCAAGTGCTGGTACTTGTACTGTACTTGTACTAGTACATATAGGTGGGCTGTTGCTGTTGCTGTTGTCGCTGGACCTGAATCTTATCACATTACAACTTATCTTTATTAGATTTATATCCACATACTGCGCGGTACCATACGTAAATTTGGTACGGTAAATTTTAGCTTTGACCCTTCCTTCCCTCCCTCCCACCTTTACTTACTTGCTCAGCCCTCCCCGTCTATCTCCTCAATCCCTTCGTCTCCTCCACCCCATGTGCGCCCGATCCTGTTCTCCAGTAGCAGTTGCCATATTACAGCAGCTACAATCTCAAACATGAGGTTATCCATGGTATTCCCGGTTTTATTCGCCTTGGGGGCGATTTCAAAGACGCATGTTCCAGCAGCGCACCCCAGATACGAGTACAATGGCCTCATAAGGAGGCAGCTTGCTACGGGGAAGATTTGCAGGTTTTTTCAGCACAAGTGTGAGCATTTCTCGCTCTATGGTCATCTTGGAATTCTAACCCTGCGAAGCTCTGCTCTTAAACGACAGTATGCTATACATCGATTTTGCGTACATGACTCTCACAGTGGATTCTTCTGGGATCAATCGAAAGACTTGGTTAGGTTCGCATCCATATGTATCTCCATCTTCCCTCCGAAAGAGCATAACTGACGAAGAACATAGAGGCGCCGTTCTACACCGATCTATCCAAGGTAGATAAGACACTCGAATCCTCCATTGCACAAGAAAACGAAACCGATCCATCTTTGCAAACAAAGTACCAGAACCCAGACAAAACATGGAAAGTCCCCCCCATATTAGGGGGCGCGCTCTACTTTGCTGGCCATCTAGGAGAAAAAATAGTCAAGCGAGGCCCCAACCTCACCCTCTGGTCCCCAAGAAATACGGCTAACAATCCCTAGATACGGTGGCCGTTACAGTGACTATCGTACCTTCAACGTCAGCCACAGCGTTGGCAAGAATGAGTGGTGGACACTGGATAACGAATCCAAGGAATGGGCTACCATTAAGCCCAGGGATTCTGAGGGCCTTCTCCGTGCTGACGGTATGGCCTCTATAAACGTGCCAGCTCAAGGACTTGCCTTTTCTATCGGCGGCTTGGTCAGCGGTTGGACAGACTCGACCTACAAAGAGTGGGACCTCGCGCCGGGAGGAATGATCGCGCTGAATAGTATGCTGATATACAATACTCGTAAGCACGAAGTGAAGAATGTGACCATTTCACCAATGCCGGCCCAATGGGGAGGTGTTGTTGAGTATATCCCTATTGGGAAGAAGGGGGTGTTGGTGCTTATTGGGGGATTCGAGTCGGAGAAGACCGCTATCACGGCGAGTGATAATAGCCTGGTTTGTGCTTTAATCCCTCTGGATGGCATGGCAATGCTTACCCTCGACAGAAAGACATGAACAAAATCCACCTATACGACATCGATTCGGGAGAGTGGCACACCCAAACCGCGAATGGATCAATTCCTGATAAGCGAGCTTTCGCCTGCGCCTCTGTCGCCTCTGCTCCGTTATCCACCCCCCCCCCTTTTTTTTCCCATTCCCTATCTCTAAAATCGCTAATATCCGCTCAGCGATAACTCCTCTCACAACATCTTCGTTCATGGCGGCACCGACGGCCACTACATCACCTACAGTGACACATACATCCTCTCCCTCCCATCATTTGAATGGATCAAAGCCGACTCAGGCTCCGACACGCAAAGCCGGCTAGGACACGACTGCCACATGACCACCAAGCACAAAATACTTGTAATCGGCGGGCGTGGTCATGACCAAGATATACCCGTCCCGCCAAATTGGAGCAACGGCGAGTGCGACAAGTACCCTTTATTAAACGTGTTCGACGTGAACACCTTGCGCTGGCAGGACTCTCGGGATCCAAAGGACGGGAGCACAAAGTTTAAAGTTAATAAAGTGATCACGACCGTCATCGGGGGGGAGTGCGTGTTCCTTTTTCCTTTTACTTCCCCTTCCCCACCTTCCCCCCCCCCCCTCCATCTTGTTCCAGAATTAGTTTATATGCTTACTAACGGGATTGGGTGATGAAGCGAGAATGGTGGCGCAACCGTCAAAAAGCCCAAGGGCGGATGGGACAACGGGGCTGTTAGGGAGCTGTTCGGGTATGGGGGATTGATGCCGCTTTTAACGTCAGGGGCAAACCATGGTGGACCGGCTGGTCAGGTAGAGAGAGAAAACATAGGAACCATAGGGTGGATTGCTATGGTTGCTATTGCTGCTGCGATGGTGGCTTGAATAGACAGGGTTGTGGCGAAATACGAGATTAACGTCCAGTCTTAGTATCATACTTGTTCACGTTTTTTTCCTTCTTCCTCTTTCTACCTCTTGCCAGTAATTTACACTAACGACGAGTTATAATGATAATGGTGAACATAATGGATGAACCACCGCTATGAAGTATTTTTCCAAGACTTGTGATGACGGTTCAACGAGCTCCCGGAGTCCGCATGATTCCCCCAATCACCGTTACAGTCCGTTACATAACAAAGAGATCTCTATATCCACCACAGTTATCAATACTCGAGTGATGACCTGTGAGCAAAACATTTAGGGTCAGAAGGCACGGCCGCCCCCCCCTCCCCCTAAGTCTTGCGAGCCCTACTTCGAACCCCGAAGTGAGCATATGATTCACCCATTTATGGTTTCCTTGCGCCCAGCCTTTGAAAACCTAGAAGCCAACTCCGGCGAAATTACAAAAATGGTAAAAAAAAAAAGAACTATGGAGACCTCAATCACATCAGCACAGGTTCTCAAGCCCCAGAAGTGGTCCCTATATAGCCGGCAACGTCCTCGCAAATTCCAAAAAAAAGACATACCTAGGGATCGTGCTACCAAGACCCTTAGATTTGGATATCGTTCTCGGAGGGTTGGGACGCAGATCTCTGGATACGGTACTTCCGGAATTGCGAGTATCATACCTGCAGGCGCAACTTCATTGACAAAAGATAGTACGAGTACTGTGCTCTAGATCATGTTGGATCACCCATGACATTCCGCCACGGATCGTTGTCTCCGCATTTCTGTCTTTGGGCATGTGGTACTGGCGTTCGTCCGGCTTCCGTTATACAAGCACCATGGGCCACCGAGATCCAAGCATCGGGCTCGCCGCTCGAGGATTGTTGGTTTCAGTCCCGTACGGTCCGCCGTGGGGCATGGGGTTAGGGATTGGATTTCACCACGGTTGTGGATTAACTAGATCACACAAGACATGTTACCAGAGAGCTGAGTGTTTATCAGTAAATACCATGATACCTCCCTTCCTTTCTTCCTATCCTCATGAATCATCACCCCCACCCAATAAATGGGGTCCAAGACACCACCGTATAACATAGTATAGTAACTTCCTATATGAAGCATAAAAAATAAGTATGAGTACAGTATCATAGCCTGCGAGTTCTTATTCCGACAGATAGTGGCCTCTCAACATAGATGGCCTTAGTATACCCTCCAACAGCTCGGAAATAGAGTGAGCGGGTTCACTTCCCACTTTGGAAAGAGTGTACGAAAATATACGGTATTTACCCGTTAAACCCAGCACCGGGTGCCGGCCTCGTACCCCCCTCCACTCCGAGACAAAGATCTCTGATACCGGTAGAGGACTCAACGAGTAAATACCGGTACGGGACTAATAATAAACTCCATTATCTCGCCCTTCTCTCAAAATAACGGTAAAGACATGAGTAACATCATGATCCGTCCACGGATCGCCATACATATCCAGAGAGCTCTATATTGTTGGAAGATCACGGAGGACCATGTTTTTCCAGGACGGTGTGATTCCTTTGAAATCGTGGGGTTTCTTTGTTAGCTGCTTTGGAGATATATATATCTCCCAGTCTGTCATTAGCTAGCATCTCTATCGATCGCCTAGTTCGCCATCCCTCCACACCCCGCTGCGCGTTGACCCTATTGCGACCGCACATTCACTGATTCACCCATTAGTGCTCTTCTTCAGGCTTCATCACCGCGATAGCAAAGGAAAGTCATCTCTAGAGAGCCTTCTCGGTAAATCACGATAACTCTGGAACAACCCGCCACGCTCCCGAAACATCCACGGTCAACCCCAAAGGCACTGGCTGCCTCCAGCAACTCTAAAAAAATGGGTCTTTGATACTACGGCATGTCCTCCCTCGGACATAGCAGAGAAATTACCGAGTTTCTAACTTTGGCGGTTCCAAACATTTTCATGAGAAAGTCACCCGAGGAGAAGAAGCATGCAAAGGAAGTGCCGAAGGACGAAGCGGTGAGGGTTACAACCGGATGCGAGAACTGGTTAACCGGACGAAAGGTAGAGATAATAGCTACCAACTGACCAGCAGATTTATATCTGCTTGAACACCGAACACCACTAGCCCCAGAGGGCGAACGAAAATCCGAAAGAGCGCCACGGGAGTGCCAGGTATTCGGCCGAACGAACAAACAACACGCCAGTATCATAAACTAACAACCAGAGAAAAACCAAAGCAAAACACCCGATGTCCAATAGCGGCCGGTACAGGAGCACAGGAAGTTACACCTCCTCGGTAAAGTTCCTGTCCTTCCCAGAGGCTCTATCTCCTCTGCGTTCGTCGACTACCTTAGTGCTTCCTAAAGCCCCGGCTCCAGAAGATCTGCATCTCCGAGTATATCTCATAGCACCATCTCCATCCCATCCTCAGATTCCCGGGCGAGTCATGAGCTCATAATCGATTACATTCATTCTGTCACCCCCCCCCCCCAAGGAAACAGCAACAATCCTCACCTATCATGACCCAGTACTATCCTAGGGTTTCGGACTAGGGTGATACCGCACTATTATGATACCACACTAGAAAGGGCACCACCGATTTAGTTAAATCTATAGTACGAGTACAAGTATGCATTGTTCCTCTATAGTCAGGTAACCATTGCTTGCCCATACCGACAACAAACAATTAAATTTCTAGAGCATACGGTAGCCACAGCCACCCCCTCATCAAGATTAATTCCGGCATTATGCCATAATATTACAGTACCGACACTTGCGCAAGTAAACCACTACCATACACCCCACCAAAAGCATTATCTCAAACAGCAGCGATGTGGGCGAAGCGGTCACAAGCACTTCCGGGGAACGATGCCTGAGGAAAGGAAGATAGACTACCAACAATTAGGTCCATGCCGAACCAAGTTGCCCAACCAGCACACTCGAATTCCCATGAACGGTATTGGGTCAACCCTTCTCTACTGTATCTACTTGTAGCGCATCGGCAATGACGTTATTTCCTACAGGTAGCGTACTGTAGAACTACGGCCAATCACGATATCTTTGCGATGTGGGGGTACAGCACGAGTGCCTCTGCTAGTACTCCAAGGGTTTGACGGGGGTGTGGGGGGGGGGGCATCTGTGCAAGGCATCGGCAGCGGAGACGAGTCGGGTAAGAAAATAAAATTGTGAAAGGGCGGTCTCTCGTGCATGATACAGTACATGTACAAGTAAGCTTACCTTGAAATCACGTGTTGAAACGTGATTTCACCGGGGAGCAATAGCCATGGACGAGCGCTTGTATCATACGGTAGGCGAGAACGATAGTCTACAGCGCTCTCTAGTACCAAAACCGGTAGGCCAGTTCAAAGGTCCATTCATTTCGTCCCCACCAATAAGGACGTTTAGCCTCAGCCCATCATGCAGGTTACAGGCAAGAAGTACCGGTATCCGAACATTGGGGGGGATTAGATGAAGTTGAAGAAGAGGTTGAGGCAGAGGGAGGAGTGGAGAAGCACAGCACCTTATGATCCCTTGCCCCTCCTCACGCGGACAGTTCATTCCTCCCTCCAACCCCCCAGTATCCACCAGTACCGTAGGACACAGTAACAAAAGTGACATCTACCTCCTCGTACCCTAACCGATAATAAAAAGACAGACTCCGAGGACGGAGATCGATGGACCAAAGCAGTTCGTATCATAAAACTTCCCCCCGCTCCAACAACCGATCGATGCGCCTCGACAGCCCACAGGATAATTCCCCCTTTCCCTCCTCTCCAAATAATTATCCGTCCATACCGTACTGGTACTGGTACAAGCCAGATTAATTTTACGGGCACTTGTACCGACGAATACAAGGGCCGGATCATACCCACGCCCCGGCGGCAGAGCCCGAAGGAAGTGAGAACTGAGTACAAGTACCGTATTATCATGCTGTGATGTGCTGTGCTGTGCTGTACCTGCATGACAGAAAAGAAAAAGAAAAAGAAAAAAAAATCCAATCAATAAAACAAGGGATATGCCTGGAGGGAACATTCTCGGTGAGCTGTACCATTAGTACTGTACAATAAACACCGGTAGGAACCAACAGATGCAGTACCGTAAAACCTTAACTTATAGTATCCCGACGATCTGCCCCGCGCTCGGCTCGGCTCCCCCCAATCAAACCCTACGGCAGGGATGGAGCGTTTCGGGAGTGTGTATGCGGCGATGGGTGGCAAAATAGGGGACATCGGTAGTCACTCGAGACAAATTACAAAGGATCCCCTTAGTAAGGTGGAATATGCGAAAGCGGGATTTCGGATGGAATAGGGGGTACGGTACGGCACTGATTAGAAGGCTAACCTGGATGGTTTCCCTGAAATTGACGGATCCGAGACGTGGGGGGAGGGATGGAGGGGTTTTGTAATTTTCCAGTTAACCGCTAAGGTCAACGGGTGGGCCTCGAGTAAGATTACAGTACGGTAGATCACGACGCTATGATAGCACAATCTGGAACCTTAATGTTACTTGACTCAACGAATTCACTTCAGCACTAAACTACAGGCATCAAATCCGCATCTTTCCCTCCACGCTCTACCGGCACTCTCTCCCATTGAAGAAAAAAAAAATCAAAACTAAAACCCCAAGCTCGGACATCCACCAAGAAATTGTGGGAGAAAAGTGAAAGATCGTAAAAAGATGCAAAAAAAATACCAAAAGCGAATCGTCAAGTTTAAACATCAATGAAGATTAGAGGTTCCCCACTTAAGCATAAGTGCCGGTTGTCAGACCGGTGGCAAAGCCGGTTCCAGTAGGTTTGTAAGTAGCAGTGGCATCAGTTCCGTTCCAGTGGCCGAAGGTCTTCGTGTAGACGCTTGTGATGGTAGTGCATTTGCCACTGGAGCATCCGACGACGGTGGTGGTGGTGGTGCACTTTCCGTTGGGGCAACCGGGAGCGGGAGGGGATGGGTGGGCAGTGGGCGCGACGGTTTGAGTCCCGCACTTTCCATCCGGACATTCGGCAACGGTGGTGGGAGTGTAAACAGCCGGGGTAACGGTGACAGTAGCATAGATGGTGGTGGGATTGTAGATCGTAACGGTAGAGGGAGCTGGGCAGGCACCGTTTCCGGCAATGACAGAGGTGGAACCCTTAACGGGAGCAGAGGGGGAAGAAGGAACACCAGCTGCGGGGGCGGTGGTGGATTGTCCACCTGGGACAACGGTCGGGACGACTGTCTTGGTCTCCTGAATTGTGTGGGTAGATCCACCGACGGGCGGACAATGAGCTCCGCCTGGGCACACCGGGCCGGTGGAGGTTGAGCCAACGGGCTTGATAGTGCTGGTACCGGGAACATCTGGGCCGGTGGAGGTTGAGCCAACGGGCTTGATGGTGCTGGTACCGGGAACATCTGGGCCTCCTGGGCCAGCGGGAGTGGGAGTGGCGTAAGCACACTTGGTGCAGGCGGAGGTGATGGTGATGGTCTTCAGGTCTGGAACGTAGGTGGTGTGCACTGAGGCAGTGGTGTAGTAGCTGGTTGTGCCGGCAGCGACGGTGGTGCAAGGAACCATGACGGTCCATGTCAGAGTCTTAGTCTGGCTCATGGTGGACAGAGTGGTGGTATAACCATCGACCATTGAGGTTCCGTTAGTAGTGGCGGGGAGAGACGCTGTAATCGGAACGATAGAGCTGGGGGAAGAGCCAGTGCCAGTTCCGAAGGGGACATGGACCGAAGAGGACGCAGCAGTTCCAATTGGGGGGACATGGACCGAAGAGGAGGACGCAGCAGTTCCAATTGGGGACGCAGCGGTTCCAATTGGGAGAGAGTGTGTGGTGGGCGCACCAGTACCAGTCGGAGCAGTTCCATTGGTCCTATCGAGATATTAGCCTCTTGCATCGTGATATTCACTGCCAATCACACTCACGGGAAGAGGCCACTGTGAGGGGCAGCGGCCGCAAGGCCCTGCATTAACGCGACAGCGAGCAGAGAAAGTGACTTTGAAGCATGCATGTTAAGAGAGTGTGGGTGCTTTGAAGCAAGTTTAAGGGAAAAAAAAAATATTGAAGTGAAAGAAAGTGCTGAATGAGATGAAGAGAGAAGGGGGAAAGAAAAAGATTATTCGGGGGGCATGATGGGGAATATATATACCGAAATTGTTCTCTTGCCCACCACCGAATCCACGTGCATTAGCCGGGCACTCTGCCACGGTGCCTTACTCAGCTACAGCGCAACCACCACAGTACGAGTACGAGATGAGATGAAGGGAAGAGAGGGGAAGCGCCGAGACGGCAGAGAATCCCTTCCAGAAAAAGTAAAAACTGCAAGGCTGAGATTGATCCGAGCCGAAAGATTGCAAAGGGGTGGTGTGTTGGAAATTCCAGGAAATGATTTCTGGAAAGGATGGCACGGTCCATGTGTGCTGAAAGGGATGTCCCCTATAATTTAGTTCCATACCGTAACCTATCCCGAACCGGAACACCGCCACGAGTGATGAGCCCCTCACTCAGCTCCCGTCATTTATCACCTACCGTATGATAGCAGAGCCATCAGCCACTCGCACCGTCATTAGAGGCATTCAGCCCGGCGGCGAAAAAAAACACCCGCCGAGTGCCAAATCCCGCGGGAGCCTGGCAGTTCGTATGCAAAGAGAGTCATCTCTTAGTACCACCCGGTTTTGAAGACGAAAGTGCAAGATTGAATTCCCCCTCGTGTTCCTTTCGTTTCGCTTCCTTTCGGAAGAATAGTGGAAGAGTCAGTTTACCCGAGCAAGGTCGCCCAAATACTCTAACCAATTGGGACAACTAATAAATCCGATATCCTATCATGTCATACCCAAATTGTATCGCAAATGTACGGTACTGTCCAAGTAAGGTTTCATGATCGGGCGAGAAGCCGGAAAATCCTCAACATGGATATCTAACGAACCACGGCACCGGCTCGCTAGTATCGATCCGACCGGGCGCGAGGAGAACGAAGGCGGGAGTGATAAATTTAGTTTGGTCCGGACCCATTCGATAAGGAACGACGGAGGCTATGATGTCTTATCAGGCTGTGAAAACCCTTCAATGCACCCCTTCCACCATCTCGAGATCACAGCGCCTGAAGAAAAGTAAAGCGCGGCGGCTGCATCAAGGAGAGCGTCATATCACCATAAATAGATTGTACGGCGCCACTAGCGAGATAGTTTGTGGCCAAAAGGAAATACATGCGGTGTTGGCGCCACTTTTGCACCGCCATTAAACTACACTTGCCCACGAAAATGTTCGACCTGCAGGAGGGGAACAAAGTGGCTTCGGGAAGCATGTGGCAACCCCATTCACCAACTGTTCCCCCAATGGTCTGGACTCTGCACTCGTTCCGCGCTGCCGGCAGTCTACCCAAACCCGATCCGCTAAAGAACTCAGCCATGATCTGCCTTGATCAAGCTTTTCCTTAGGCTGGTTTACTTCAGTCCCCTTGCATACTCGGCAATTCTTACGTCACGCCAACACGCTGCTTGCCGCCGATAACCTTCTCTAGCATCAAACTCGAGTACTCTCTCCAGTAATACTCGAGTGGGTGATGCGGATTATAAACAACGCTCTCTCCTTCGCTCTCCTATACTCTGAGCACTGGTGCGATATATTCAGCCCTCGCCCGCTTTGGAGGGACTTCCTTCGCGATTTCTTTTTTTCGCCATACAACCTCCTGTCTAACCTACTGCGGGGAAAAGCGGCGGTGCGGTAGGTTTCCCAGTAGCGGTGAGCCAGATTCCTTCCGGGATTACCGCTGACTCGGAGGGCCGGAGGACGTAGCGTACAGGTACCTGCGCGGTCGACACAGACATGGCTTGGATATCAGTTCAGAGATCTCTGCAACCGTTTGGAGAGTCATTATCGAGAGTAATCACGTGGTATTTAAGCGATGCGGTCTGTCTGCGTACCGGTATGATACTTGGGTCTGGTGTTAGGATGTCTGGTGGGATGTGCTTGGAGGGATTTTTCTCTTCTGGGGGGGGGGTGGGGGTTTTGAGTTGTTCTGGGCCAAACTGGCCTACTATTCCAAATTATCCGCAGATCTCGTGGTTTCCGAGGCTTGAACCGTGCTAAGTTTACTCGAGTACCGTACTAGACCCCTCTTACACCTTCCCAATATGACGCTTAAGCACTTGCCTGCTTATCAGATGCGTTTACTGGTGGAACGTATTATGCTCCGCAAACCTGGAGGGTTCTGAGCAGCTGCAGAGAAGCTGAGGAGAAAAAAAATCCTCAGGACCAGTAAATCTTCTTGAGCTCCAGAGTTCCGTTAATAGCAAGGGAAACTACAATACTAAAGTGCGCGATTCCCCCAGTGGGCTGGGCCCGGGTGCGGGGAGTTTCTGAAACGCTGAGGCACTCTGGGTTACCCGAGGGGGGGGGGGGGCTTAATAGGGTCCGGCCTGTCGTTACAAGTACATTACCGTACTCGTAGAGCCAGCTGATACTTATTCTAAGGAAAAAAAAAAAAAAAAAGTAGCGAGAATATCTAAAACGGCGGCGCTGTGCAAACCACCAGTGGTTACCGTATTGTAGCAATCTCCAGCTCCTTCGATCTCCGAGTAACCCTTCATGCCCGGCGCCAGGCACAATTATGGTAACTGAGTAAGCCTTCCCCACCTCTCTCCACTTCAGCTTAAATTACGATAAATCATCATCCACTAAGAGCAGAGGAAGCCCAGGAAAAATACCCTTTGCATACATAGGTTTCTTAGCTGAACTCTTCACTTATAAACTGCCTAACGGTATATTCCATGGTCTTGCAAGCAATTACTCGATTCGGCGGGCCACAACTGACTCTCCGCGAATGGATACAAAAGGAGTGTAAGCGCTATAAACTACAGTAGGGTTAGGTTTCCACCTCCTCCTAAAATCCAGGGGGGCGCAACTTACCATTCCCGAATTTAACGGCGCGCTTAACTCGTGGTATCGTAATTTAAATCTTCACATTCTACCGTATTCCCCCACCTGGAGTCGATCCCTTCAAACTTACACCTAGAGGCCAATCACCGCTATCACCCTCGCTCGCCACAGGAACGGTCCGGTGCCTGCAGGTACAAGTTACTAGTTACAAGTCCCTAGCAAGAAGTATCCAAAAGTTGCCACACTTTTGAATTTTGTATGGGCGCACTGACGTGCACAGACTTTTGGCCATACTAAACCCCCCTGCTCTATCCCTGAATTCTCTCTGAATTATCCCTGAATTATCCCTGTTTTCCACCTAAATTTTCGGGTACTTCTTGCTAGGGACTTGTACTACTCGTCGTAAGTTCAATATTACTCATCTCCCAAAGTCATAGCTCATGTCTCAGTTATTCCTCATTCTCGCTGCGTCAATCCAACCGACGGTCGAGCCTGAACGGCCCCGTGGTTATTGTAATTCCACCTAGCTTTTTCAAGCGTTCGGCAAATTGCGTGGATGTTCAACTTGTACTTGTACCGTATTGGTTCATCGGCACGAGCAGGGATGGGGTGCCGGTAGGGCTCGGGCCTACGAGTATAGTACTCGTACGAGGACGTTGAAGTGCATTTGGGGAATGAAGGGGGTGGAGGGTGGGGGTACCGTACTCGAGTACAGTACCGGTAAGGCAAAATTGGAGTACTCCTACTCCTACCAGGTACCGGTACTGTGCCACTGACGGTAGCTGTTAAGTTGTGCCAGTGTAGTGCCGCACAGTAGGGTAGGTGGATGGATGCCGGTCCCGTACCGGTAGTAGATCGCCGTATCCGAGTCTTTACGGTAGCATTGCCGTTTTAGCACATCACCGGGACTCGAGGGGTCGGAAGAAGTGGTATGGAATGGTGGCTTGAACGGGGTCGACAATCGGAGGCACCGGTCTTAGGCTCGTGAGTGATTTCGCCGTCCTCCGCTTGATATTTCCCCCTAGAAAACAAAGTTACCCCCCTCGTGATGGATCGCCCTTACAAGTTATTTCTCAAGTGATTTCATTCCCCTTTCCGGCTGGCGCTGCCTGTAGACTTGGCCTCTGGAGCTTCGGTACGGGGGGGCACTGATGCCGTGGAGACGGTCTCGGAAATACGCGCAATCTGCCAGTACCGTACCTGAGGAGTATCACTCGGCACTTTCTCAATACAGAAATGTTTCCCGCCTTCTGCTGGGATCGCCGCACGCATCAATTGTAGGGTGTCCGCATGTTGTTTCAAACCGCTCATCCATGTTCGCTTAACGTTCGTGCGTGCGCGGCGGGTAAAGTTGAACAAAAAGAAGTGATCTGATTAAAAGGGGGAGGAGTGAAACCGTTCTCATTATTGTTACTATACAGTACGAGTAGTAACGTTGCTGATCACCAAGCAAAAAAAGAAATACGCTCGGGAAAGAGAAGCGGTCTTACCGGTACTAAGACACGTGGGGTCGCCTGTGGTGCCTCTACAAGTGCTTCTCCACAACATTCTACGGTATCTCAGGGTCGGAGGAACGGGTGTGGAAAAGATTCTTCATGATAAACGCGTGGCTGACTTGCGGTCCGTAGAAACCATGTTTTCAGAGCACAGCAGGCGTCGATTGCCTCCTACAGTTCCCATATTCACGGTAAAATAAGAACCTTTGCCCTCAAAAGGAGGAAAAGAACCAACAATCTGTCCACCCCATCGTTAAACACCAAAGACAGCACAATGTTTTCAGCCCCCTCTCATGGTATAACGGCCGGGGGTATGGGAATATCTAAAGTTTTCATGAAGATATTGGGGTTTGGAAGCAGGTCAAACTTTTGGCAGGGGTCTCCTATTAAGGTACGATAACGCTTGGCAAATCAATACCAAAGTATTACTAAATTTAAGTGACGATGAATGTCCGCTAGCTCAGGGTGTCTCTCACGCCATAGCAAGGATGGAATTCGACTCCCGCGCGAGGGATGGATTTATCATACAGTAGCGGGCATCGTTCGTCTTATTTTTCTTCTAAAAAACTGGTAATCCTGGGGAACTACTCTTTTCGCTATCTTGCTTTCTGATGGTTTCGCGATACCGTAACTTACCGTAGCAGAGGGATTTGGCTTTCGTTAAAACCATGGTTTCCCAGTTTCGCGCCGCGAAACAGACAAATAAATCTAATTACAGTAAGAGGAGGATTTGGCTAAACCGGGGACCCTGCCCGATTGTGCGGATGGGTCCGGGCTTTGTGGAAATTGTGGTACGGGTGCTCAGTATCATATCGTGTCATAACGGGAGGGGACATGGACTGGGGGTTTGTTTCACTAGATGCCGGCAGCTTGGGAAATGAAAATTGTTAGTCGATCAAGTGTTCCTCATATGTTGGATAGGGAGTTCTCGAAATAAAGAAAGATAGTTCCTTTGGGATATGGCTACGGTATCTTTGCATGGAGATGGAATCTCCCGATAAAATATCCTGTGGGCACTCCTTGCTGTGCGATTTA